GCACACATGTATATTTGTATATAATCCACATACTACAATGATTATTTCTTATACATGCTATTGTGCTTCTTTCACTGTGTATATTGTATGTACGTGTATTGGAGAGACATCATCAGCCGGAAACAAATTCCTTGTTGTGTGTCAACATACTTGGCCAATAAAACTGATTCTGATTACATGTGCAGTTAGGTTTTAATCTCACACAGTGGGTAGTACTTGGAATATGTGTTGTAATTGACTGTCAGCTACAAACGCACCCTATTTTATCACTGTAAAATTGACTGAATTATAGTCATCTGTGTTTTTGAAGTTCAGATGAGTGTGACAGCCATCTTGGATTGGGTTGGCTCCAAAGATTAAGCACTTTTAGCATTTGTAGATGTACTTTCAGGAATGACTTTCTGAAAGTTTTATTCAAAAGGTAAATCAGTGGTTTATAAGATATTTTGGTAACAGACAGACACGCTACTCTATCTGTATTTGCCTTTCAGTGGCACACAGTAAAATTGTGTATATTTGTTTGATTCAACAGAACAAAATATACCTACCTTTCAAACAGCCATAAGGTGTTAGGGGATGGCCACTTTTCTCTGAAACTGACCCTGGCCCACACGCTGGAGTGGTTGTCAACAATGTCCCGCAGCTGAGAATGAACCTAAAACAAAAGCCAAACAGATTGGTCATCTGAGCAGGGGTCCCTGAGACGCTAAACCCTAAAAATTCCTGAGAAAATTCAGCACATGCATGTTACAGGTTAGTATGTTGACTCACCGCTCTAACAGACAGCAGGTCCTCGGCAGAGAGACACTGGAGGACGCAGAGAACTATTTCCTCAGGTAGAGACAGCAAGGTCAGGGCTGGAGAACGCTTACGAACCCGCTTCCGTGCTGGAACCGAGTAGCATTTTGAACAAAGGCAGTGGACAACTGGGGAAAAAAACAATAATAATATTAACTCACTCAACTAATGTATATTTAACCAGCAGATTTATGTGCACACACAATTATCACTTAACATCTAAGTGCAAAGATGGGAAACTAATTCTCACAGAGACGTAAAACAAATAATTGTACTTTATTTAAAACAAGCTAGTGACCATTAGGGCCACAACATTAAGTATTTTAAGGTAGATTAGAAAACAGTAATAAAATCTAACATAGTGCATTACAAAAGTCATAATAAGTTAAAAAATTTTAAAAAGAGGCATTGTCATTTTTCTTGATGGTTTTCTGATCACTAAAGTCCCACTTCAAGTTGAGAGGGAGAAACCATTTACTTTTCCACTGACTAAATATGTTATTTTTGTGTTTATTTACAAGAATAATTCTAGATTAAGATTCTCATATGCATAAGGAGAATTAAATAGAGATTTAGTCATAAATCACTGAAGTTTGCACAAAATATACCTGACAGAATCACTGAATAATGGAGCAAGTGATCAGACATATAACATATAATATTTAGATGAATAGAGTTTCAGCTCAACGCACAGCAATTATTCCTGTTTTGTATTAATAAAGAGCCTAAACAATAATGTAATAATCTGAACAGGCAAAGGAGATATTTTTGTGTATTTGTAGCATACCTTAGAAAACATTTTTATACAAAGTAAAGCAAACTAAGTAGGTGGTCTACTCAAAATACCTATATAAATGTCAAACTGTTTTGAAATAGTACCCATGTATTTAAGCAATGTGATTAAACTAGAAAATATAGGACATTTTCGTTGTAGTATGGCAAAGTTAACATCAGTGTACTGAGTATTAGTGAGCGCCCAAATTTCCCTCCTGTAGTTCAATAAAAGTAGCGTTTTCCTGCGACCTGGTGTTATTAGTTTATACTTAAGATATGTGTTATTAATAACCACATATGATATCGTTATCAATGTATAAAATCCATGTTTTTCCACCCAAGCCTAAATATTGACAAACTTGAGCAAATGTTACTACTACTACTGCCGGTTCATTGGATTCCATGGCCACACCAGCTAGCGACAGACAAGTTTAACAAGCTGAAACTTCGAAGCTACCATGATCAAATACGAGATGTGAAAGTTTTGTTTTGAATTAATTGTATAATTTATGTTGCTATTTAAGGATATGGTAAGACGAAAATGTACTTACCGCCTGCTTTCATTGCAAGTAGTGATATTTCCTTAACGCCGAACAGCAATTTCAAAGTAGTGACAAGCTAATATTAAAATAGGCTAAACTGGCGACAGTTTTTTGACTAGAGAAAGAATTGTACAGTGTTATAAGTAATGTTGTGGCTGACTAATAACTAAACAAGTTGCCTAAATTCAAATTCAAGCACGAGTCCTGAGTCCTGACTTGGGACCGCCCCAAATTTACTCTAGGACCGCCCGCGCCCACGGTTTAAACGCCACGCTGAATTTGATTTGTGAGAAGCGATGACGCCTATATACGACATTGCTCCCATTTGATTGGTCAGCATGAATAACAAGGTCAGCGATTGGACAAACGTTACAAACCGTAAAATGTCGGATGTTCATTGGAGGACGTGATGCCATTTCGAAGTACGCGCTTCACGGTGGGCGTACATGATTGGTTGACCTGAATACGAAAGCGTCAGCCATTCATAAAATAATTATGGGAAATGTAGTTTGACAGAAGCGTTGCGTTTAAAGGTACCTTGTTTAAAGAGACATGCACACGATTTGTGAGTATTGTTTTTCGTCCGTGCGTCTGTGTGCTGCATTTTAGAATTGCATTCCACCGAAAACGATTATGTTTTTGCCCGTGTCTCTCTCTGTGTATATCAGAATGTAATGTAGCCTACATATACAACTGTTTGAAACTTTCAGAAAATATTAATCAGTTGTGCATTTGCAATTTTGTGGAAAATATTAGACAACACATTTGAGCACCAACACATCCAAAGATCTCACAATATCATGAGATAGTGCAAAACATCATTTACAAGGTTTGACCAAAACAAATATAACTGTGTCAGTTCTCGATATTATTTGATCTTTACCTAAATTTCTGGTATGAAAGATTCAAGGCTTCATTTAATATTTTAAATTGATATTGGACTTCTGAGATTTTTAAGAAAGCAAAAGTTAAAAAGAAAAAATACTTAAGACAGAAAACCTTAAGAATTAGCCATATGATTTGTTGCTCTGAAAGCCTAACACATCTCAGTGATTATTCAATTAGATTTATTATAATTAATTATAATTAATTTATTATTAAAATTAAGACCTTATTGACAAAGAATAAAGTGTTCTCTCAGATGAATAGTGCCCTTCTTGATTGGTAGTCTTTTGAAAGGGGACACAAAAGAAGCATGCAGCAGGAGTAATCTTTTGTCCCTTTCAGGCTAATTATTGATTTGTACATCACCTGCTAATCCAATCTAATTGTCACAAACAAGGCTTTATCTCTATCATTCAATGTGAGGAGAAAATGCATGTTAAAAACAACATTTGATGTAATTCCCAAAGGCACTGTTTTATAATTGGGCACTTACACAAGTGATGGTGAACAAAGGCAACCGGTTTCTTTAATTTCCCAATCCACATATTGAGAAATGTATGTCTTGCTCTGGTTAACACTAAAGGTCCAGAGTGATCAAATTATCTTGTAGCTGAGTGACCTCAGTCAGGGCAAGGGCTCATGCATCCACAACTAGATGCAGTTTCCATAGAAACTCCAACCCATAGACCACATTTTCAGTAAAATCACAAAGTTAATGGCAAGGGGCAAGCAATTAGAAAGAACTTTTAACCCTAATAATTAAAGAAATTACACCACACTCAGTGTGGGGTCTATAATTTATTTATCGTAAGTATAATTTTACTGAAAATGTGTCATACCAGAGGAAGTAAATATACAGAGAGTAAAGACTAATTTTGCAAGGGTTGGCTCAATAAAGAAAAACATGCAGTGCAGTATAATTCCCACCCAAAGATGCAATATTTTATTTTCATTTTCATCCAATATAATGAAAATGATTTAAATTCAGTTTGCGAGACAGTGTTACTGAGTCATAACCTCTTCTCAACACATCTAAAGCCTAATCATCACATTTGCATGCATTGTAATGACACTGAGAAGACATTTTAATGTTATTTTGCCTTTAATGTGATTTAACTGTCTGGCCCAGTGTACACCAAAGGCACTCTTTGCAATATTAAATAATTAAATAAATAAGAAGCCAAACCTGCACATTTTTTCCTCTCATTTCAATGTTTAACATCCTTAAAAGAAAAAAAACTACCTTACCTACTTTTTCCTTTTCTGGGTCAGGGTCATTGGTGCCTTGAGAAGTTGAGAAACGGTGGACAATATATATATATATATACAGTATATATACTGTATATAAGCAAAATTTCTTAATTTTGAGATTCTGCACATCTAAATCCTCCACGTTTGTTTACCTACACAAATCAGTCCAATGTAGGTCACTCAGTACCAAAATTCAGATCTCCATGTAGCTTTAAATTGATTATATCATTTGTTTACATTGAATGCTTACCCACATTTCAGAACTGCAAATCGATTTAACATACTTAGCACATAAAGGAAATGCATTTGGTAGATTATTTATTTGTTGTAACAATGCTTCTTAGCAATAAATCTTGTATCGTTGGAAAGTCTCTTAAAGGGGCAATATCATGTAAAATCAACTTTTTTGAGTTTTATATCAAGTTATAATGTTATACTCTCATAAAAAACATGCTCAAAACCTTGCTTTGACTCATTCATGCATGTTTGAGAAATCCTGCAGCGTTTTTAGGAAGCCATGCTGAGGAGCAAAACGACAGGTGGGGACCAGAAACGCCCCTGTACGGAGCCCGTAAGGGGACATGGGAGATTTATTTTCTTTTGCATTCCCACACAATAGTCGTTTATCACTGTTGTGCCTGCCGTTTTATTAACAAACTCACATGTTCACCATTAGCGAGTTAGCCTACTGCTTTAATTCAGCTTCAGAATGAATATATCACACAGCCATGCATGGAAGTATGTCATATGTCAATATTTTAACACAGTGCAGCCACGCAACACCAATGTCAATTTCACAAACTTTTGGCGACACATCCTGTTTTGGTAACCGGATATTTCAAAATAAAAGTCTGATTTAATTCAGTTTATACAGAATACAAAACAATCTTTTGCGTGGGAACGCAAAACAACTTTGCGAGGTAACGCAAAAGTATTGAGAGGTAACGCAAAGATATGGCGAGGGAACGCAAAGGTATTGCGTGGGAACGCAAAAGAAAAAAATCCCCCCATATCTCCTCACGGGCTCCGTACCCCTGGGACGTGTCTTTAAGCTGAGCTTCCTCATGGCAGAGCGCACCCCCTCCCCTCTCCCCACACACCCCGTCCATGACTCCTGCAGGCTCTCGGGTGAAAGTGAAACCTAACTGTCTGCTGAGCTCTCAACATTACTTCTCACTCAGTGAAGCTCTTTTCAGATTAAAAATACCTTTGAGGAAATGTATTTTCAGATGCCAAGTAAACTGCATCATAGTAGCCGTGCGACCCCCCATACCGAAATGGACGGGACAGCCGCGGAAGGTGGTTCTTAAAGAGATAGAGGCCAATTTCAAGGCGTTTAGAAGTGATGAGAAGATAAGTTTATTTTCTAAAAAACATAAAACAGCCTTTTAATAACAGAGGTGACATAGATTCTTTATTATGGTAAAGTATTTAAATACTGTATATGCCTGAGAAACACATAACATTGGCCCTTTAAGTTCCATTTTAAATGGTGCTACATTTGTAAGGAACATGCATTTGTGGGATGAGCAGTAGAGCTGAGTATGTGGGTTGCATACATGGGGAAAAAATAGCCAAATCTTCTCTGCCAAACAGCTTATTTTGCTGTTACTATTGACTCTCGTTTTGAGCTGGTGCTGCCAATTAGGTGCCAGCCGTAAGATTTATCGCCAAAAAGCATTGTTACAACAAAGAAATAATCTACCAAACACAAAATGTCCTTACTTTTTGTGCTAAGTTTAAATGGATAACAAAGTTAACTTTTTATAAAATGCACCTTTTTATGTAGTCCATAACTTTTCTGTTTGGTTGGTTTCAAACTTTGCAGTAGTTTTAATCACTCTCTACACCCGTAAATACGACAGAATTTAAATGCAACTTCATCCCTCTGCTAAGATATCAGCTGGAGGGAGCCGCAGGCAGCGACTAAATAGTAACAGATTTGCCTTTTGCACAGATGCTGCTGATTGGACATTTGAATTAAATGCAAATGGAACCATAAGGCCCCAGGTGGCTTGAATCCAGCTTTCATAATGTCACGTTGCGCTGCCTGTTGCATCTCTAAACCAATGTCAGTTTTGTGTAACGAAAGTTTGACAAAAACCAAATAGTGCTGAATGCCTGGGTCTGAAGCCAAGTCCGTGGAGAAGCAGAGGCGGATGAGTTGCTCCCATCTGGTTTCCTGTGATCTGTGCTGACCCCTCGCAGCCCAAATGACCACTTCCACCCCATCTGCACTTTGCCCACGTTGGCCCCTCCACCCTGAAGCCAGACCTAAACTCAGTTCCCTCACTTACACCAGTTTCCCACATTGTGTCAGCAATATATTATTAAACAGTTTACAACGTTAAATAAGCTTCAGTTGAAGAAGGGAGAGAGGTATAAATTTTACTTTCATGTTAGTGAGAGTTTACCAGTAGAGGGAGTCATTTTTTCTGGTTGACGATTTGTTCCAAAACAGAAGAATGCTTAAAAAGTTGCTCAACTCTGAACAAATGAGATGATCTGAGAGGTGAGAGAGTAACCAAGACTAAGCCCGAATAACACTCTGAGTAATAAAAGACTTTTGTTGAAAACTTTCAAAAGCTATTCGGACTCAACTCTGTTAGCAAATTATCTCACAAACCACTGACTGGACTTCATAAAACCTTCAGGAAATAGTCAAGAAGTGATCGATCATCTTTAAAGACACAAACGTTAACATTTATTTTATACTGTACATATGTAAAGAGTTAAAATTTACATATAGAAATATACAATGCAAATAAAAAAAGTTATAGGTACATTTACAGCACCAAATATTAGAGTGCACAAAAACCGACACACTTTGTGTTACTGGAGTGACAAACAGCAAAGTCAGACAGAGTCTCTGTCTTACAATAGAGGGACATGAATCCCTGCAGCAGAGAGAGGTAGGTTTTCTCTTTACAATTTCAAAAGGCAGGAAGGAAATCACAGAACATCTCTAACCAACCACATCTATAGACACCATCCATAAACCTATACTGGCACAATAAAGCTTGATCGTTTGTAACTATGCAAGCAAAACATAGTCAGTGCGTAGCATACATGTGCGTTGTTGCACAAGGCAAGAAAATAAGACCATGTACCTCACTTTACTTTTTTGTGTTAGTGGTTTTTCTTTAATAAAATTATCCAATACCAGTCTCACAACTCAAGGCAATAAGTTTGACCAATTTACATTATTTTCTCTTTTAAACACAAACCAATTGATGAATTTGCTAGAAAAATAAAACATGAAAGCTACGAGATTACTTCTGTTGTGTAAATGAATCATGCTGAAACACCTTCAATCCGTACTCCTGACTGAAGTGAACAAACCTGCTGAAAGCTCACACACCATCAGACAGCAGAGCCAGATGGCCTGCTACGTTATAATCAAATGTAATGCGATTTCAGGGCTTCTCTCTCATCTTGGTGTTTGGAGGACACCACTGCTCCAAGCAGAAAAAAAAAAAACAAGGGGAGAGACTAAACTAATAATAGGAGAATTTCCTTTGACGTAAGCCATGAAAGAAATGTGATTTACAGTAAGCACGTTGACTGCCATCTAAAGATTCAAAATTTACCAAGTCCACTCCAATTCATCTGAAATGTTAGTAGTAATGCAACATATTTCCTATTAAATAGAAAGAAAGAAAAGACATGACTCTTTCTTTCTTGTCTCTGTTGAAACTAGAGTTAAGCTGACAAACAGTATGCAAAGATCTGAATACAAGCAGCTGAAAAAGAGGAGAAAAGTCTGAATAGAGCAAACAAAAGCAAGTTCATGAGCTGTGCTTTAAAGAAAGTCTTTGGCGTTTACTGCTACCCCTGCGTGTATAGACACATTTTTCTCAGCAAGCATCACTAAACCCCTGGGCTGGATCACTGCAAACCTGATTAATAAAAGTTCTTAATGATCCAGCGGTGTTAAAGCCGTTGGTGTGGAGATAAGCAGCATTTAATTTGTTCACTTTTTTGCACATTGCGCTCGTTCCTTCTGAAATTTTCATCTCATGTTATATTTAGTTACAGATGAGTATTTTAAGACACAAACAAAATGACATTGTGTATCTCATCCCGTGAGAACGCACTGACAGAAAGCTCCTATTCACAAATGAGCAGCTACATTCACTCTCTGTACTTAAAAAAGGACACAAAGTAAAGGGAAACCCCCGGAGTCCCTAAGAGCCCAAACTCTTAGAGTACAGCTTTGTACGGAGGAGATTTTCATCTTATCCCTTCCTCTGTTAGAGAGAAAACAATGACATTCTTTGTTTAAAAAAATACAATCAGGATTTTTATGAATAAAAGGAAACTACCATTTTAAGGTTTTAAACACGTCTGAGCTATAGCACAAAAAAACAAATGATTGATTCGGTCAGACTCCAAGGGTGCAGGATGAAATGGATGGGATCAGTGTGGAGAGTCCTGGTGGGTCAAAAGAAAAAAGAAGGAAGGGGTGTAGATTCACTGAAGTTCAGATGGAAACATGGGAATGTGACAGAGCTTTTTTTTTCCATGAGTGCTTGCTCAAGACACTGAGCGGGAGGGGCAACGGAGAAGCAGGATCAGACAAAATGCCCCTGCAAGTGGCATGTCCCCCACCCCAAGGCAGTGTCCTTCAATAGGACCCCCCTGCCATAGACACAAGTGTAAATGCTCGCACATCGACAGGAAGGCAGCCAGTCGATCAGAAAGTTTGTGCCTCGTCGTGGAGATGAAGCCACGAAGAAACTTCACCTGCTGCTTTTCTGAAGAGTTTTCTTTCTCGGACATGTGCAAACCTTTAGTTCTTCTGCATTCAAGGCCAGAAGTGTCACTTGCACTTCCTCAGCAGGCTCTCTGTTCCTGTCCAGCTCACCGACCATCCACTCAGATGCCAGCAAGATCCTGCTGGACTCAAGTTCCAAGTCCTGTTGCGTAAAAAAAGCTCCCACACACACATTGCTGCAGTGTCACAGGACGAGTGAATGACGTTGGTTTCGGACGCGGGGCGCGCTGCTCTTTGGGCTGGGTGTCGGGTTGCGGACTTTGGCCCATGTCTGGCCCTTATGGAGAATCACCTGTCCTGGTGAGAGGAATGCTGTGACTGACGTGGCTAATGACGGCAGAACTGACTCCAGCAGCAGTTCTGCATAGCGTGTTAGGTGTCAGCATGAGCTTTATGTGGAGAAGGCTGAGGGCCTTTCTGTGCAAGTAAATATCCATGTGGTGTAAAATGCATATTTGTTTGTATCCTCAGTGGTTGTTTTGACACAGGACACCTGCTGCTTGATGATAAAACATTGTGATCCATGTCTCCTGATCCCAAAACTGGTCCGGACTAAATAGATCTTTACTATTTTTGTTCTTCCACTCTCTTTAATGTATTAACCTCAGTTGACAGCAAAAAGCTCAGCCAAACTCTATGATATTGGAGGGGATTTGGTGTTGGGAGGCGATGTGGAAGCCTGTTTTTTTAGCCGGACTTTGAGTACATCGGAACACCGAGCATGTCCTTGTCTTTATATTCCTATAACTTTTCCTCCGTGTGGCTCACAGGGGACACTGCTCGGATGTCAGTGACTCTCCCTCCTTCTTTTTCCTCCTCTTCTTCTTGTGGAGAGTCCAACAGGCAGTTGCCATCAGCAGCAGCACGACGCCCATGACAAGTAACACCACGGAGACAACTTTAGTCTGTGGCAGGTCGTTGTACGTGTAGGTCACCCCCGTTCCCGCAACTCCGATGACCAAAGAGATGATTCCAAAGGGGAAAATGCAGCGATACCAGGACTTCTCCATGCCTCCGGTGGCTTGGGACAAACGTTCCAGAGAAGAGAGTACTTCAGGAACTTTGGCACCACTGGCTTCAAGGGATTGACTCTCCTGCCCAGAGTTCACCGGGGGTTGTGGCTGGCAAGTAAAATGGCCCGTTGTGCAGCCCATCCTTAAATGAGCGGGCTAGCGGATCCCAGCTGGATCAGCTGCGCTGCTTTCGGGGATCCTAATCAGCTCTGGCCTGTGAAAAGAAAAAGGAGACAAAGCAAAACAGAAACATCTGCGTGAGACTGAGGAAATTCCTCGAGGCATTATGTCTGGAACTTGCCACAGGAAGGCCTCTAAAGTCAGGGCTGAAATCCACTCACAGTGTCCCCTTCTCGTCTCCCCTCTCTGCAGCGTCTCCCCACACTGGCTGCTGGCTGTTCGGCAGCACATTGTACACTCTGCACACTGTAGTGCCAGGGAGTATATATAACTCACTGAGGGAATGGGAGGAGCAAGAGATGAAACACTGGGCTGTCTGCGCGTCATGATTGGTTCTTTTTGGGTGACATCAAACGCTGAAGAAACAAGAATAGAGGCTGAGGAAGCACAGAAAGGGGGAGGTGGGAGAGAGAGAGGTCTTTACTGCTCCGTTTCCCCCTCATTCCATATCACTGCATCTTAATTCAAGTTTTTTTCTTTTTTTTTCTAGGTGAAATTAAATCCTCCCAGTGGGAACTAAAAAGCCTGCTTGCGAGTGGAAATCTGTGCGCTTGTCCGTTTATTACTTGAAACTGGATACATCCATGGAGCGGTTATTCTTAAAATGAGGCAAAAAAAATAAAAGGAGCGTCACAACCTCCCACATAATTTATGACAGTCATGTAAACACCTGAAAAACGGATCGTGGCAAAACATCAGAGGCTCAGAGCCGTTGCCGTCAACGTGTAAATACACGGGTACCCACTCGTGATGGAAAACAGAGGCAACCCCCACTCATTTCCCACCCACGTACGCTACAAATATCAGTTAGTTCTTTCTGAATGAAAGACAACAGGGCAGTAGTTTATCTCACAGCATGTTCTGCTTGCTTTTTCATGACAATAACATCAACATAAACAGCTTTATTTTTCCAGATTTGCCTTTTTTCCTTAGTTAGGAAAGGACTGATGTGGAAATCTGAAAATCCTATCCCAATTTGTCTCATAGTGGTTTATGAAAATAAATAGGATGAAGGGAAAAAAAAGTTTAAACACGTGACATGACTATTTTCATAAAAAAGCAAAATCCTAAAAGGTCTAGTTAAATTACTGTTCATAGCATACTAACAAATCAGGGCAGGAAGAAAAAAAAACGCTATTTAATTACATTTTTTTACGTTTTTCTTTGCATTTATGAATCATCTGCATGACTTCAGCTTGACAACACATCTGCTCCCCATAATTAATTCAAGGCATTCTTCTTCAAAACCGTTAGAGCATGCATGGCACAAATTAGGAAATACCAAATAACCCTCGGTGAATGAAAGGCATGCTTCTTGTCTGAACGGAAAACCTGTTGTTAAAGACGCTGGAAGGGAAAAACAAAGGATTAGACTTGGTCGATCGGTGGGAGCAACCGAACAGCGCCTTAACAAGCAGCTCGCCCGGCTGAAGACACGAGCCAAAGACAAATAAAAGCGAGAAAGTGAGGAATGTGTTTGTGACGAGCGGAGAAGAAAGGAGATGTTCAAAAGCGACGGGCCTTTTGAGGAGAAGTGGATTCTTTCGAACACTGTTAGGTTTCTGTGGATTCCAACTTAGGCTCACGGGAATTTGAATAAAGAAACATTTAGGAAGTAAAAAAAAAGTGCAGAGGATGATGTATTTTAATTTACTGGTGTGAGAATGTGTGTGGCAGAAATAAATATTTTCCATGAAGATATTTCCTTGGATGCTTTCCCTCTCCAAAAAAAAAAAAAAGCTGTGAGAACAAAGCAACAAAGCCGTGAGACGTGGTTAACCTGGGCAGGGCCGGGCCACACTGGTGGGAGTAAAACAACTCTGCTGGTGAAAGTCAAAGCCAGGCAGCAGTGGAAGTGTTCACAGGAAGCCGGAGCTGCGTAGGCCCCACTTCCACTGGGACCTGTGTGTGGCGATGACGCGATCTCCAAAGATGCCTCCCTGCCTTCTCCTCACAGATCCGACAGGCAGACAGCACCGAGCGGCGGTCACATCCAGATGTGGCTGCAGTACGCAGTGGGGCATTTTTCTGGAACTGTTACAGTGCTCAGCTGCATTCATTTGTTCTCGTTTTGTACACAGCAGGCTACCCGAGACCGAAATAGTCCTCTCCCTTTTAAAAATCGTATTTTTGTTCCCTCTCTTTGGGGAAACGTGCCATTTCAAGCTTGTGGAGTGCAGAGAGCCAGGTCCCTGAGCACGTCGTCTCCGTGACTCAGCCGGCTCTGGGTGTGCGCGTCTCTGGGTTTGTGTGTGCGGCGAGGGTTGGTGCAGCAGAGCTCAAACACCCACGTCCTGCTGCGTGAACCCAGCGCCACCTGTCGCCCAGTCTGCCACAGCCCCTGCCAGCCACACGTCATCTGTGGGCATGAGCCTTTTAGCCCCCACTGCGTCTCACATACGCCCTCACATCACACTCGGAGCAGGCGAAACCGGGAATATCAAATCAGACACGGTATTGGGCCCATATGTCCAAACACGCACTCAGTGTTTGTATGCATTACACAAAACCATATGGGGGGGGAACATTAAGGGTATAGACTGAGTTCCTCCTTTGCGTCTTGTTTTGACACTAAAAAATGAACTGAAAGAGTGTAAAAGGCTGCTGGATCATTTCACAGCTCAAGCTCCTTAGAGACTCCATTTGTCAAACAAGCTGGAACTAAAGGAGAGTAACCCTGAAGTCATTATGTATCCATTCTGTTCTCAGTGAAAGGAATGAATCAGGACTATCATACTCAACACATGATTTCACCTCACAAGCTAATATTACTTACTCTTGGCATCAGTTGCTTTCACCATAAAGTAAATTCAAGTCATAATTGTGTGAAAGCAGATTCTAGTGTTTCCTGTTATTTTTCAGTTGTTGCTCATTCATGTTTTGGGTCCTATACCCCCCCCCCTTTTTTTTTACTTTTATAGTTTTTATATTTAACTTTATATGCAAACATTTTCTTCATAGAAACACAGTGATATCTTCCTTCATAACGCCATCTTTGAAATTTGCATCAGCATTCTGTATTTTTGTCTTGTGCTTTTAGTTTATGGCTAACGTTTTTCTACTTTTAGCTTTCAGCTACCATTCTGCTACTTTTAGCTGTTAGCTAGCACTTCTTTTATCTTTATCTTTTTTAAAGGGGAAATATCATGTAAAATCAACTTTTTTTTGAGTTTTATATCATGTTATAATGTTATACTCTCATAAAAAACATGCCCAAAGCCTTGCTCTGACTCATTCATGCATGTGTGAGAAATCCTGCAGAGTTTTTAGGAAGCCATGCTGAGGAGCAAAACGACAGGTGGGGACCATAAACGCCTTTTGGTACCAGAAACGACCCTGGGATGTGTCTTTAAGCCAAACTTCCTCATGGCAGAGCCCCTCCCCCACACCCCCACCCACACACACCGAAATGGGCAAGACAGAAGTGGAAGGTGGTTCTTAAAGAGACAGAGGCCAATTTCAAGGCGTTTAGAAGAGGAAGTGATGTGAAGATAAGTTTATTTTCTATTTAAACATAAAAACAGCATTTTAATAACAACTAAAGGTGACATAAATACTTTATTATGGTATAGTATTTAAATGTATGCCTGAGAAACACATGTTTTGCTCCTTTTACCTATTATTTTTGCTTAATTTGGCTCGTTTTAGCTTGAACTATTTCAGAAATTTGAGCAAAGTCATTAAGCACTTAGCATTCACGTAAAAAATACAACTTCCTTAGTTAATTGCTTGATTTTGACACACCCATCCATCCATTATCTATACCCATTTCTTCCTTTCAGAGTCACGGGGGTCACTAGTGCCCATATCCAGCAGTGATTCTGACACAGTCATGCCTAAATAAGCTGTTACTATTTAGTGTATCCAGGTCAGTTCAGGCCACTTTTTGGCACAATAAGAAATAATAAATATTTTTAAATTTTAAACTATTTTCAGTATTAACTGTGATGTATCATATTTGAGGAATAACAATCAATGAAAAAAATCATAATAGACTTTAATAATTTAAAGAAGCACAAACATAAGTTAAATGAGAATTCTTACTGAGTTCACACAGATCCACACTCTTAAATCTACATACATGTGGTCACAGACTCCCCACTATAACCATAAACTTTCCCAACTATATACTTATATAAATGTTGAAATTACACCAACCTATGCTGACTTTCCTAAAATAACACAGCTATATTTTGTATTAAATTGTCCCTCAGAAACAGTCAAGAAAAAGCTGAAACATGCAATGAAAAGGACATAAAACCATTTTCTCGGCTACATTTTTGATTTGACTCAGTGTTACAGCCTCATTAAGCGCATGTTTGTCTACATATTAGCTAATATGAATTCTTAAGGAGGATGCTGCATCTATTAGTCATAAAAAGGTAAAAAGGTCAGCTCCATCTGAGACAAAATGTGCATTTTTCCTTTGCAGGGAGAGGCCGACACGTTCCCCTTCATGTCCAAAGTGCTCTTTAACAAGTAACAAGCGAAATACAATGAGAGATTTCTCATATTTGCATACCTTTTGCTAAGCTAACCAACTGTTAACTCTCAGAGTAACATGCTTGGTGGGTAATCAGGCTGAGTCCAGGACTATTGCAGGGAAACGCTCTCCTCCTTCACCAAGCAACGAGTACATGTCTCTGAGCACACTGGGGCTGGGATGTGTGGCTCCAGGGACTATAGATGCAAATTGAGATGAGAGTGCGTCCAACAGAACCTGACACACAGCATAAAAGACAGTGAGCACATTATTCTGCGGTGCCTTTAAGGATACCACAAGAATAAAACAAATGAGCAATTCATTTGTGCAGTTAGGAATCTGATAAACTCTTTTATAGGTGCTTCAAAAAGCAGCTCCCACCTGTTCTATCTGAATGTCTTGCTGCAGCAGCGCCACCCTCATCCGCAGCCTCTCCAACTCTTGAAGCTCATCTTCGGTTCTGTAGGTTATAGTCAGGGGCAGGGGTGAAGTTATCCCGTCTCCCAACGTACAATTTGCCCCAGTGGGGCGAAGACAGCCTCCCTCTGGCCTCCATCGATCCCATGCCTTCCAGTCTGGTGGAAAATAAGATTATTTTTAGAGCGTCAGCAACCATACCCCCTCAAGACATTTTTCTACTCTGCTGCCTCAGCTTTAAATAACTGCGTCTTTGCCTCGAGAGATGGCTTTAAAGTCCCACTGTCATGAGCAGGGATGCTGGGTGTCTGATGAGGCCAAGGGAAGCACTGATCTGGCACCAAGGGTCACTGCGGCTCTGTTTTCATTTTCCACATGCCAACATGGGTGGGCTGCATTAGCTCGTTAGCACAGCACACTTGTCACAATCATTTTTCAAACTAAGGCTGTTAAAGTGCAATATGTCTAGAGTCTTAGGTGTATGATGCAAGATTGGCTGATCAAACCCCAGCTGATGTGTCTTGTATTAGAAATGACTCTGAAGTTCTCTTTCACACAGGTTTTAGCAGCATTAGAACTGCAACTCAGAAATACAGTAAATAAATACCTCTCTTTGAAGGTGATCAGATAATTTAAGGAGGTTCAACTGGAAAATCTGTGCGCCCTCACTTTAACTACATATCTGTAGGAGAGGATGTTTGTAGCATACTTTAGATTCTGACTCAGAAAAAGTGGTGAAAGAGGGACTTGTCAAATTGTAATCAGGAGGAATTCAGCATTGCACTTCCACTTTATATAGACCCCCCAACTGAATGATTTAAATGTGGAAAAAGAATCATTTAAACACATGGTATTTGTGTAGGGTCAAAAAGCTGACTTGAGGCTTCCTGTATCTCATTTTTCATGGTCAAATAAAATGCTTGCCTTTTTGCACTTGGTCTGCAAAGATCTGGAGCTCTGCTGCCGTCTGCTGCAACCCTGTTGGACAAGAGTGGAGGTAGAGCTTACCACCTGCAGAGGTACGTGACTGAATGCAAACAAGCAATGATGGTCAAACTGTATCAGCCGAGTAAAGAAACAAAATGAGTTCATTCATGTCAATAACTCCTGTAATAATTTCATAAAAATCTAAACTGTCCAAGATCTTGTGGTTTTTATTTTCTTGGCAAAATAAAGTCTAAACATGAATGTGTCTATCCATCTAGATCACCCTTACAAAGTCACTTCCTGCCAACTCTTTGTGCACTTTCCAACAAATGCCACATTTCCTCACCCACATACTTGTGTCATCACTATTTCACTTTTACAGAGCCCTCCGCTCTTGATTCTGAACGTTTGCGTGTGTAAAAATCTGTTCAGCCTATTTACCCAGCTCCGACTCCACGTCTGACGCCTGCCTGGCTAGAGTCTCTTCTGCGTGGCTGCGTGGTCCAAGGCTGAGCCCTCGTTCTGCCAGTCTGTCCAGCAGAGCCCTGGTCTGATCTGGACTACCACATGGCCAGTCACCGGGAAACTAAGGAGGTCGGGACGAGAAAGGCGAGCACCGTTGACTGAGTGAAAATATTATAATACATACAGTACAAACAGTTTAATTCCATTTGTAGGATTACTCAATATGGAAAACACAGGTCAGACCACTTTTACTGGCTCCACTAGGAAACAGAAAAGTACCGTGGCTCTCATTCTCTCCATAAAGCGACTCCTCCCAGGCACAGGTTTCCTCTGTAGGGAAATGACTTTGTCCCACAGCCTGTAGATGAATAAAAAAAATGGTACTCAAGTAGAAACTTTGTTTTCAAGAGCTTTTCTAATCTAGAATGGTTCAGCAACCTGTTTTGCTTGCTCCTTAAAGTCTTCCATTTAGTTGTCACGTCAGATTTTAGCCTGTCATAAAGCAAACGTAAGACTTTTTGTCTGTTCCATCAAATACATACAACAAAACATGATTATTTTTATGGTCCAACTGTGTAAAACATACCCATTTTGTTGAAGCAAAATGCTCAAACCAAACCCATCTGTGTCTGACAAAGACACGATGTTATTTGAAGACGGCGTGGAGGCAGCTGCAGCTCTGCTCAGGTCATCGTCTCTTGCCAGATTGCTTCTGGCTGTCTTATTTGTCGAGAGCGGGGTTGTGATCGGATCAGGAGCGGCAGATGCCGCAACAGTCTGCTGAAACTTCCTCGATGCCCGATGGTGCAGAGCCCGAGTTGATGAGGAGAAACGGTTTTGGATTGTGTTTCGATTATTTACGGTTTTAGGCTGCGTGGGTTTGTAGCTCGTCGAGGACCTTGAGCTCGGTGTGGAGCGAACTGATAAACCAGACGTTTTGTGCTCTTTTCTGCCGAGCCTAGCAGATTTCGAGGTGGTTCTAATGGTTGTTTGACCTTCATTAGCCACTGCGGATGAAATCAATACGCCTGTGGTTGGGTTCGTTTCACTTCGAGGTCCAGAGAGGTTGTTTGTGCAGCAGTCGTCTTTAGAGAGCTGTGAGCCAGTGCGGACCCGAAGGGCTTTTTCCAGGGCTCGTTCAAGCAGATCTATATCTTCCTTCTCCCCGGGTGAAGTGTCTACATGTGACAAGAGCAACACGAACATTTCCTGTTACAGTTCAGTGGTTTCACTAACATCTTTTAATTAAAAAGACAAAGGATCTTCTTTTTGTAATAATGAGACAAGACTGCCTATCTACATTAAAAAAAAACACATTTCACTGAGTTTTTTTAAAGAAAATTTGAGACTTGTAACAGTAGCAATCCCATCTATAAAAAAGACTGATTTTTATTATTTTAATCATTTCTGTTGTGTGTTTATTGAGTTTGTGTGTAATGCAATTCTTGATTTTTCCTAATATTGAGTAAACTATACAAAATTAGCCTAAAGCCTGCTTTCAATCAGCATTTCTCAGACAAAATATATATATATTAATTACCTGCAACAGCTTGTGCTTGTTCTGACTTTTCAGACTCTGCCGTGGGTTGTGATGTTCTGAGAGATTAAAAAATAATTAACTACAGTTGTTCTTTCAATACAAAAAATATCTAAATAAGACAATCGTACATAACAATTTCACACAACCTTTCTGTCAGAATCAACCAATTTCATTACCAGAAATAAACAAATAGATGCATCAGAGGTTTGTAAAAATATTAAATAAAAAATAATAACTTTAAAAAGGTAATGTTTTTATGCTAAGAAGATATATGAAATTTTTTAAACAAATACTGATTTTTAAAATGTATTTAAACAAAGTCACCCGACATCCTGGTGGACAAACTGGCTACCTTAGACTTCCCTCCCACAACTTCCACCTGGATTAAGACTTCCTTACAAATCAGTCTGCAGGTGCACACAGCTCCTTCACCCTGATGCTCAGCACTGGCTCCCACCAGGGCTGTATGCCACTATTCATCATCGACACCCGTCACTGCGCCCCCTCTCACTCCACCAACACAACCATAAAATTTGCAGATGACACTACTCTGCTGGGACTTATAGCTGATGGAGATGAGTCGGCATACAGGGACGATGCGTAGCAACACCACAGCGGTGGTGAAGAAGGCCCAGCAGCAACTGCACTTCCTGACAGAACTCAGATGGAACGACCTGGACAATAAAGCTGTTGGTAACCTTCCATCGCTCCGCCATAGAGTGTGCTGGCAAACCCCATTACTGTGAGGTATGCCGGCTCCGCCGCTGCTGACACGAAGAGACTGCATGTGGTGATCAGGACTAATGAGAACATAACAGGTTGTTCTCTCCCCTCCCTCCATAGCGCCAGCCGCCTGCTGCCCTCTGGCAGAAGGTGCAGGAGCATTAAGAGGCACACAGACAGACTCAAAAACAGTTTCTTCACACGGGCCATCTGGACTCTGAACACCAAACATCCTAACTACTTAATAATGTTTTTGTCACAGTGAAACATTGCACAACCTCTCACAACATTGAACAAGAAAGTGTGTACAGAAATTGACAGATGCCCCACAGGCTTTACTGTCAGTTTTTTTTTTATACCTAGTAAATTAATGGATAAAATAGAAATATTCAAGAAGAGGAAATCAGAAATTAGCAGCACAAAAAGGCACTGCTGGGATTCGAACCCAGGATCTCCTGTTTACTAGACAGGCGCTTTAACCAACTAAGCCACAGCGCCACTTATTGGTGCAATAACCAAGTATTAAACCGAACCTAGAAACACAACATTCATAAAACACTTCTATTAATGATAAAGTAGTTGCATAAAACAAATGAACAGGTACTTACATGCTGTGTAAAATTTCTCTGCAGTGTTGAATACTGTCATTAAGCTTCGCCTGTTCGACTTTACAGGACTTGATTAGTCGCTCGACCGCAGAGATCAGCGACATTGATGATGTTTCTTCTTCTTGCTCTTGTTGGCGGTATTACTTTCCAGTCGAAAAAAAAAAGGGAAACGAAATAGATCATTTAAACGCACTTTGTATAATCTACTAGTGCTTGTTGTGCAAATGTTACACCGCACAATATTTCTACAAAGTCACACATAAAGTACAAACCCGCTGTGTCTGCTGACCCGCGGATACCTGCCACAACTTAACGGATGCGGAAGCCACGTTTCTTCTCTTTCTCTCGATGATGAAACAGGTTTCAGTCAAATAATATCCAATATCGTGATGCACACGTTCGTGAAGTAAGTTGGCGGAACGGTGTCGGTATAATTTTATTCTACAGGCACATTATAAACTAACAAAACTCGAACCCAAGTTTTTTTAACTAAAGTGTCGAAAAAGAAAATCCAGTTCTCGCGAGAACACACACATTTGTAATTTCACAGGACGTTTCCCATGAGTTTCCTGTGTTTCCAACGTAAACCTGACTTACTTATAAATTATGTCTAGAAAATATAAATGGTACAAAAATCCTTACACTTTTTTTTATCCTCGCACTTTTTCTTACAACCTAAAAATTACAACAGATCCCCCAAGCAACAGCAGTCCCTTGCAAACCTGACAGTTTCCTTTTAACCCAGGGGTGGGCAATCCTGGGAGGGCCGCAGCCCTACATGTTTTACGTCTTTCCTGGCTCCAACACACCTGGTTCAGTCATTGATTTACCTTCCAAGTTCTGCAGTATGGAGGACCAAAACTGACATAATTAGAAATAAAAGCAGATTTATATGAACCACTAAAATAAATAAACATAAAATGCACCAATTAAATTTAAAAAGGAGAACTTTATCTCGTGTTTTTTGTTTGAAATGACTTGAATATTTATTTTTCCAGGTTATTATAAATTAGTCTATATATTTT